ACATATGTTTCATATGTTTGTTGTTGTTTGATTTATCATCTACGGGTTTATGTCGAATTAATTTGATGGCCTGCTCCCAGTTGGCTTGTTAGCTCAATTGGTAGAGCGCTGCACTAGTATCGCAGAGGTCAGTGGTTCGAATCCCGTACAGGCCTGAAATTTTTTTTTCAGGTCTGATTTTCACTATTGCTCAAATAGTGCTTTACTGCGAAGGATCGTTCACATATAAGAATAAGGAAGCTTGCTAATTAAAAATACATATCTGACAACTATTAGTCAAGGGGATGACAATGATTTTAAGAACAAATCACCAACTGTAATTTGGAGCAAAATCAATGCAGTAGTGGCCTACTATCAATAATCAATTAAAAGTTGCTCGAATAGTGGGAACAAACATACACAAAGCTCCTCCAATGTAGTCTACTGTAAGAGAGAAAACTTGTGCAAGGCAGTACTCCTTCACAGCTCCATCTCCCATGTTGTTGTCTAACACAGAGCAATTTGCCAAGAAACCTGGTCTTGTTGAATTTCTTAATAATGTTGCTTGATAGAATTCTTGAGGTATGGCCACAACTTCAACAGGTGTAAAATCAACCACTGATGTAGGATAAGTGATGTTGACCAACAGAGACCCAGCCAGAGACCTTTCTCCAAGTACTTCAGAGAGATTTTGGTAACATTGCTGTGCACAGCTGTCCAGAGAGATAGCTACTGAGCTAGATTCCAAACTTATCACAACAGTAACTCTTACTCTGCTGGTATAAGAAAGGACGAGGGTAAATAAACCAGTGGAGTTTACTCCATGAATGATATTCATTGATGCTGACCAGGTCTTGTTGCCCTAGAATAAACAGACAGTACAAATGGTTTATTATCTTCTATATTTTTCATGTTTTCTGTTGTAAGAGAACCTCTTATTCTGCAGTTAAGCAAATGTTTTGCTCTTGGTGGTTAAAAGTGTCGTGGCTCAATTTATCAACAGATTAACAGTGAGATTAACAAGGAAGGAAAGGAAATATTTTTAACTTCTTAAAGCACTCAATCTAAACAAAATTGTAAAAAGTTATAGATGGAGGCTTCTACCCAAGTTTTTATGCTGGATTAATTCATACAATTTCTGTTCTTACCAGAGGCATTTTAGGAATAATGTATTCAAAATAAATTAGCAAATAAAGAAATACCTGTTGAGAGGCAGAAATATGATATCCATGACTTCGGATGAAGTGCAGAGTTGGAAAGTAAAATCCATCTTCAGGACTGAAAGAAACAGAAGAAGAGAACTTATATTACTCATACAGTATTTGCTGATTATATTTCATGATTAACAGGTAGTTACATGTATTGACCTGATCACAGTGACTAGTTAAACAATGACGAGCATATAAAGTAATTGTGTATTGAAAAAAATAACTTAATATATAGTTAATATTCTTATCATTACTCAAATGAGTATAATTAAAAACCAATGTCAAACAATCAAAAGTCCTTAACTTTTAAACCAATTCCTGGTTTTAAATTCTTGAGACATGTACAGTAACTAATGGTTTCAAGATCACATCCACCAAACACCTTAGCCATGATCATTTCTCGATTTAATGCACAGTCCTAATAGGATGTTCATCCTAAGTTGGGCATTCAGAGGCACCTTGAACATTTCAATCCAAATCTGTACTCTATACAAGGGGCTTAAGGTATATAACATGATATAATGGATATACACCTAGTTGCTACAACGTTGTCATAGAAAAAAGCAAAAAGCAAAAGCCAAATAGGAATTAATTAGCCATGTGATTTACAATTGCATATTTTAATCATTTAACAATTATATATTTTTATAAGAAGTCAATCACAATAACAAGACATAATTCTGTAATTCCATGATTAGACTGATACCAAGAAACTGAAGCATGTGTGTTGTTAATGTTGCAAGCAATGATAATTAAATGCTAATTAATTCATATTTGGCTTTTTGCTTTTTTCTATGACAACCTTATTGCAATTAGGTGTATCTACATGTAAATATATAATAAATAATGTCTTCACTGCAGGTGTGAATGTTATATGGTACATCAAGTTTACTTAAAAATCAATCTGTGATCACCAATACACAAGCAAAATTATAAAAAGGTCAAAGGACTAGCTGTTTTTTGTCGTTGTATTCCAGTTTTTTTAATCATTTTAAAAGATAGCATCCTTTTCACTAATTGCATCACCAGTCAGAGCTTCCTTGTACAAGTTGAAGTTAATTTTTGTTTCCAGTGAATTTTTTCACTTCACTAATTTAGTTTTTCCAAACCTGTCACATTTCCGCTGAGTAACATTGGCTTTGCATTTACACTGGCCAGATGCCTTGTTACACACAGATCCATAAGCTCCACCAATATCACAATCACATTCTACACACAAATCAACAAAAAAATAAATTTAAACTGTGTCTGATAACACTAAATAACAATTTTGATTCATCCTAAATTATTAGACTTGCAATCACTGTAATTATCATTACTAATCAACATCAAGAGGAAGAAAATATGCAACAGCTAGTTGGTCTCCCTTTAATTCCAGCACAAAACTGTTGCAAAAATTAACAATTAACCGAACAGTTCCATTGTCTGTCAATGAACATTAATTAGAAAAATTGTAATAAGAGGTGAGAAAATTCTAAGAGCACAACAAACCTATGAATATATATTACCATCATAATAACAAACATGTCATGAATTGAACTAAAACAATTTCAATTAAATCCAATAGTTAACAATACATGATTGATCACCTGTACATCCATTAGCATTATCCTTGTGTAGGTCATAGTATGTATCTTTGCAATGCATACAATGCTTTCCTTCCACGTTTTTCTTACAAGTGCAATGGCCACTTGGACCTGGCTCACATACATTAGAACCATTTATTGTACCAGGGGTGTGACACGTACATTCTATAATACAAACAAAATGAACAATCTCATTAATTTTTATTGATAGGATGGTCACAGTCAGCTCACCCAAAAAAAGACAGTTTAATTCTTTTTTTATTGGCTATATATAAGCTGATTCACATATACAAATGTATACTAAGCAATTACTGTACTGGCTGCAGGAATAGCAGAACCAACATGCATGTAAAATGCATGCAAGATGGTAGATTTACACACAATTTATGTGCATGTTACATGTGCATTAAATTTTACACGAGCTTTTACATACGCCTTAAATAACATGCAAATTGCACAAAATTAGCTTGTAAATTGCATGCAATATAGCAGATTTACCTGCATGAAAAGCACAATGCTGCTAATTATTCCTGTGGCCTGTATCGTATTTACGAAAGAGGAGGTGGCTAGTGGTGGATATTTACCAAGCTGTAGAGTGGCAGGGTAAAACTATACCCACCACTAGCCACCAACATTAAAGGTGAACAGTTGTTCTAAAACACAAGACTCATTTATGCCTACAATGATTACATTATTTTCGGGTGCAAATCCCATGCAAGTTGTGTGGAGATGAATAGCAAAGGATGTTTGGAGTTTGAGTTGCTGATCAGAGGACAAATTCAATACTTAACATATCAACTGCTTAATTGCATTAGCAAACAAGGGGTCTTTGCACGATATGGCAGCACCTGCAGGCAAGATGAAGTCAATCCTGCTTTCTGATTGGCTACCCGAGCAGGCAAGATGGGCCCATCTTGCCCACTTGGGATGCCTGCATTGATTCTGTGCATGAAAAAATTGAATTAGAACTACGTTCACAATTCTTGAACAATTTCAGCGATGGAAACGCAAAAAGCAGCAGAAGATTAAGTCAAAACAAAGGAAGTAGAAATGACTCTCATGACTTTGTTGTGCCGCAAACATAGTTGGCTTTCTTTCATTCATTCGTAATTCTTAATGAAGCGAAATCTTTTGCAAGATAATAAATCCTTTATTAACCAAGCTTGTTTGGTCAAGATACTTGGATATTAGCCTCATTCTCTTTTTGCATTTCTATGGACCAAGATGAAGTCTCAGTCCATAAAAATGCAAAAAAAAAAAGACTCAGCCAATATCCAGCCATCTTGACCTCACGCTTGGTTAATAACGCTTATATACCCTTCTATTTGACAGTTACAGTTACTGTAACAATATCCTTTGATAAAGTTGGAGCATAGAACTTTACATATTAAACAGCACCTTGGACAACCCTAAACAAATTTATATTTAGATGTAAATGAATTTTGGAAAAAAAATGTCTTGCCTTGGCAACCAGAAGGATTTTCTGATGATAAATTAAAAAATCCAGGTTTGCATTGGTCACACTGCCTTCCAAAAGTGTTATTTTTGCAGACACAGCTACCTGGATCCTGAACAAAAATCACAGACAGCATTGGTATCATATCCAACAAAAGAATTGGCTAGTAAAGACTCTCAGAAAATAAATTCTGAATACAGCAATTTGGTTTTAACCCTCAAGTGAAAGTTGTAGTGAGAAGGACCCAAAAATTCCTGTAAGACAAGGTGGTGAGGTGCTTTTTTTTTTTTTTTTGTAAAACCAACATAGAAGCAGCAACCTTATCTCTATGCTTGTTGATCTGAAATCACGCCTGAGTTAACTTCATCACACTGCTACATTTCTATAATCATTTGATAACCAGATCATGGTTGACCAGTATTATAATTAAATTCACTCACCATTCCTGGGCGAGGAGGAACAGTATTCTCATCTCTCAAACAATCAAGATACAGCACTCCAGGCATGGTTGCATTTTTTGTTCCTGCTACACTACAATTACATTCTGCCAGGAGAAAAGTACACCAACTTTTAGACCCCAAAAATATTCAGAACCAGCACTTGGTGAACAAAAATCCTAAAATACGTCAGAGATGCAAATAACAGTAAATAAAATTAATGACCTTTGACAAATATAACTGTTTTCACCACTGACAGTTACTAAACATAACCATTAATGAGTACAACTTATCTTGAACCCCCCACTGACTGTAATTTTTAGTTTTAAATTCATAATTAAATACAACCAGCCATAAATAGGCTGCATATTTTTTTGTCAGTAAAAATCCTTAGTTTATAAATGGTATATTACTATAATACAAATCCCTGTTTCATTTAAGTATCATGTAAATAGACTGGTTGTAAAGATGACTCTGCCCAAAACCAATTTCAAAATCCCATTCAAAATCATTTAACGAGTCACTATCCCACAAATTTTCTTTAAATTAGTAAAGGATTGTGTATTTCATTAGAAAACTACTTCATGTGTTGATTGATGTTTCAAAAAATTATTCCTCAGCTACTAAAAGAAGAGATAAGACTTTGGCAACTGGAACTGTATAGTTTCTGCTAAAACATGTACAAGAAGACATCTCTGCAATTGAACATTTTAAAAAAATTCCCGAGAAGCACACCTCAGCTTCATCTTAAAGGAAAGAAGGGAGGTGGGGTGGTAAGGCTGTTTGAGTCTTGCATAAAGTATGCTTAAGAGCCAATCCATATTCCCCCATGCCGTTGACTTAAATTAAATCTCATATCTGGAGTTTAATATGAGTTCCACAAGCAAAATGACAATATGTCAGTGGAAGTACCTCGACAAGCATCTTTATCCCATTGTGATACATTTCTTGGTCTAAAGAAAAATGGCTTACACACTTCACAGTTAATTCCTTCAGTGTTGTCCTACAAAAATGGAATTATATGAATTCACTTTAAATCCCAGTCAAATGTGATATATTCTTTATATACACCATCAGCAACAAGTAAAACATTTGGTGCAATTAGGGGTACATGTTTTGATCATTAGTTGCTAATATATAGATTTAGCCAAGACTAAAAGCGGAGCTCGCATTTTTTTTCCTGCACGTCTCAAGGGCACAACTCCTTGCCTTATATACTGGGTAACTGTGTTGCTGTAATAGATTTGTGTGTGTGTTTTAGCTTAGTATTCTTCTATTTGTACTATATAAGGGTGTGTGTGTGTGTGTGTGTGTGTGTGTGTGTTTTTTCTATTTTTCTTATTATTTTCCTATTTTTTTCTTAATTTCTATTTTGTATGTAAATGTAAGAAAATGCTTTGAATAAATTTATCAAAAAAACAACAACAACAACAACAACAATGCCTTGCCCCGGCCAAGACTCAAACCCGGGTCATCTGACTCGGAGCCCAGTCCACTGACCACTGTACTACTGGACAGAGCCATGGCATTGGCGTACCTGTGGTGCAGTTGACTGTGCATGCTAAAAGTAGTACATGTACAGATGCCCATACAGTCATAAGTCCAAATTTTTTTGGCTTGATGGGTTACTACTACCATTTTGTATAATTATGGGGCTTCACTGCACGCACTGCGCATGCTGCGAGCTCCACCATTAAAATAAAATCTTTCATCCTTGTAAACACATCAGTTGTAGCCAGCAGTTCTGCCTACAACCAGTATTCGGTTGCAAATTCATAATTTTTTTCACAAGTTAAACTAACTGGAAGCTTTATGGTAAGGAAAGTATAGGTAAAATAAGGATTACCTGACAATTTTGACAGACACCTCCACCAGAATAGTTTCCATGGATGTCTAAACTCCTATTCATCTGAGCTACTGTCTCGTTGTAAACACACACTGCACTGTGGCTATGACAGTTACAAACTATATCAAATAAAAACCAAGGAAAGTAATAAAAAACTTGCTCTTGCAAAAGAAGTCTAAATCAGTTCTGAAATGTAAGAACCACTACTCTCTAATTTTTTAAAACCAGCTACAAATAAGTAAACTTGAAAACAAAATATAGCAAGATGCTATTTACTGAATTGCTCACACAAAAACTTAGTAGCCAAGGTTGGTTGCTACTGTAACATAAATTCTCCTCTAAGTTAAAGGGACTATGTCAAGCTGTGACTTTGCATCCTGGGTTCTTCTAATTCAAATCATAGGTGTCACATGTTTCTTGATTCTTAGTACCCATGCACAAGTGGTGACATAGCCCTTATACTCCCACAAAATAATGATTAACATGAAACTTCTCCCTATAAAATCAATACATTATCCCTCAAACAGGTAATGAGAATACTCAATCTTGTCAGGTAGAAGTTGTTATCCTGATCAAGCACCAAATTCTCATAACTAATTTACAAGAAAATGTGTTGCAGACAGAGGGGAGGATTAACAATCAGAACTTGGGAGTAGTTAGAGAGGAAATGAGTTATGCAAATGTTGTGAACATAGCCCCTTTAACTACCGTGTTTCAAAGAGAAGTAACAAGCATTCAGTAAATTATCAACTAAGGGACACTTTCTTAATATAACACCCTCCTTCTAAGGAATTGCTTAAAAAAAATGTATGATCACTTCTTACAGTAAATATACAATTGTAGGTGAGTTATTTTGGATCTTTGGAGTACCAAGGTAATTAACAGGAAAAAAACAGAAACATTTGACCATAACATGCAGAGCTAGGACACCTTCAATAACTTACGTTGGCATGCAGCATTCTCATCAGCCACAAGAGGGCCCTTGCTTCCTGGTTTCCATGGATACTGATTATAAGCAGGACAGCACCTGCCACAATCAATACCACATGCTCCCTCTTGGCAAACACACTCATTTTCTCAAAGTGTATCATTGAATTTACACTTCAATCCATCTCCTTGTCCATTGCATACACAGTAGGCTTCTACCTCTACTTCTCTCACAGCATAGTGATGCTAAGGTATGCATTCAAGAACAAAAATAGCAGTTAGCTTGAACAAATAGTATTCTAAAATATAATGATCAGTCTGAGGCAATTTATTCCACCTCTAATTCTTTGGCACATTGGCCAGTGCCAGGCCATATTACACATTTTATTTAAAATAATATCACAAAAACAAAAACAAAAAAAAAACAACAAAAAAACAAAACAATTGAGTAACTTAATTATTAGAATGCAACAATTTTTGTTCATACCCATCTAACAGCCAATGGATCAAAAATGCGAAAGAGTGACATGAACTGCAAACGTACATTGGTGACATTCATCCATTCCTGTGTCAAATAAAAATTACATTCATTTGTGTGTTCATTTGTTACTTTCCCTATCAAAAAAGCACTGTATCCAAAAGTATCTCATAATTGTGTCATGTGAAAGTGATAATAAAGGTCCATCTGATTTACACCTCCCTTACACTCAAAAGAACTCCTTCTCTTTAACCTGTTATTCACATGATCATTTCTTGTGAGGTACAATAAAAGGTTAAGTCTCCACTAACCAAAGTGGCCCATCCTGCCAGAACTTATACTAGTTTATCACATATAATATAAGATACTGATGAAGTACCAGGATTTTTCCTCTTACTAAAAATTATATCTTCATTGCATGCAGTGAAGATACTATAATTTATCTTTCATGTGAAAGGATAATTTTTTTTATTGGTGTTGCCATGGTTACTAACATGATTAGCCAATTACAAGAGAGCTTCCCTCTCAGGCAAAGTTGTGTTTTAGGTGGAAATTTCATCAGTATCTATAAAATAAACAGAACATTACACGGCCAGATGGGGATCATACGAATTTTATTTTTGCATGCTGAAAGTGTGTCTGACTCATTCGCTTTGCTTGCTCATGAGAGATACTGGGTACTTACAGCACTCGAAGATAAAATTCGTATCCCAGCGAGGCCATGTAAAATCCTCTATTTCCTTAGCATGAAATGACTAGGAGTATCGCTACCCCCCCCTGGATGGGATGCCAGTCCACTGAAGGTTAACCCCTGAAATTTCATTAGGCTTCCCTGACAATTTGCCGCCACCCATTTATACTCCTAGGTTGAGAGAAGCACCATAAAAGTGACACGGCCAGGTCTCGAGTGCAGATCTCTTTATCCAGAGTCTGGTAAACCAACGACTACACCACCAGCTCTCCCACTGTAGGGTAATCCTTATAGTAATTTAGGAACCAGAAAACATGATTTACAAGTTCTAAAACTTGACAGACTTGAAATTTTTCTGTGTAAATACCTATAATGATAATTATGTACTAAATTTTTTCCTTAGACTTTCCTTCTGCAGTAGCTCTGATATACTTTGAGAGTTTGACAGTCACTGTGTTGTTTGGACAAAATTCAATTCAATATAACAGCAGGATAACAATTCAATAGATCATCAGTTTAACAAACCAGCAGTTTATCAGAGGGATTGTTGACATCTCCTCTTGGTCCAACCACAAACAAAGACACCTGCCATGATGAAAACAGTACAATTAACCAAATGCAAAAGACGCTATTCAGTGATTGTGAGCTCAGGATAGCTAAAAATCACCTGATCACATGTAACAAAATGCATTTAAAAATTCTACTAGCATAATCTTATGGTCCTTACCTGAGTAACATATCTGAGTATCGATGTACAGATGACACTCTCTGTGATAATTTGCAATGTTTCCCTTTTTGTTTTAAGATTAATTTAAAGTAAATCCAATGTAGTGGGGAATGCCTTACACTATGTAGAGTGACAAATGGGTCATTTTACAGTTGTGTACTTAGTTGCCAAGCCTTTGATTCAGAGTGAGGCTGAAGGTGACCTTGTTGTGATAGAGACCTGTATCTAGTTAGCATAACAACAATTTGAAAGTGATTTACATTTGAAAGGAAGCAAGGTTTGTATCATAACAAGGTCACCCCTAGCCTCACTCCCATTCAAAGGCTTGGCAACCAAGCACACAACTGTAAAATGGACTATTGAAGACAATGTAACACAACCTTTCAACTAACACACCGTGAGGGTGAAAAGTCACAGACCATTTTCAGACTAGCTAGGTGCCTGTGCCCTTTTTGGTAATACAGCTGAACGCTGCTTTTGGTCAATACCTAAGAATGATAATCTGAGCACTGATTTGAATATATGAAAATCATATTATGTGTACTGCCATTTCATGAAATGTATAAAAGTGATCCTGGCAGTAATGAACCCTACTTATGAACTGACTTCTTGAAGCATAGCGTCAGTTATAGCGGAGCTTCTCTTTGGAACGATCTTCCTGAGGATATTCGCACTACAAAATCTCTACACACCTTCAAGAGAAGAATTGATCAATGACTCTCTGTATTGGGCTCCCACACAGATATGTAAACGAGTTAATAGAAAATTTTACTTAAGATGAATTTCATCTTTGTTTTCTATTGCCATACTGATATTTTTACCGTGTTTTAAATAAAGATTTCATTCACTCATAGTGGAAATACGGCCTGAAGAAAATTCAGGCTCATGTACAGTACACATACATGATTTTCATATATTCCAATTCATTGATCAATTTATCATTTTGATGGGTTTAATATGAACCAGCATAATGACCAACTCCCAGTTGGCTTGTTAGCTCAGTTGGTAGAGCACTGCACCTGTATTGCAGAGGTCATGGGTTCAAATCCCATGTAAGGGCCTGAATTTTCTTCAGGCCTTATTTCCACTACTACATAAGTAAGGTTCATTACTGCAAGGATCGCTTTCATACAATCTGAGCACTGTTGCTGAGCACGAATGCTACCTTCAGGAGTACAGTATTTGGGCACTGTTTCCTGCATGAAAATTTATCTCAACTATTTAACATATTTGCATGAAATCATGAAATAAGGATGAGACCATGTAATAAGGAAATGAGGGAAAGATATTGTGAGAGATGGATGGCAAATTTATTGACCTCAGCCACAATAAAAGAATATTTGAATGAAACTTTTAAAGAGTCAGACTGTCATCAAGCATCAAAAAATACCTGAGATAGAATCTTAATATAAGTTACTTACAACAACATTTCGATCCACAGATTCAGTTGGATAAACAGTGCAAAGGACTTGGTCTACTCTGACAGGATTAGATTGAAGTGGTCTGTTAAACTTTTCTTGACATTCATCAGCATTTGAAACAAAATAATGCCATGGTTGATAACTCTGACCATTATCACTGGACTTGTAGAAGACAAGTTGACCTGGTCGGTAATATTCCCCAAATTTTATCACCAACTTGTTGGCATAGTAAAACTGGTATTGAAGACAAAATCACACACACAAAAAAATTAATAACCAAGTATAGCAGCCACCCCTAGCCCTGTAACTTGTGCCTCAAAACTTGATTCTAGATTCTCAAAAACTTTGAGAATGAAATTTCAAGGTTGGATTGGAGACTGTTATTTCACACTTAAGGGTATTGTATATTCTAAGTCACCATCTTGCCAATAGCAAAGGATTATCTGCACATGCCATAGTTTAAAATGCATTTCAGACCGAATTGCAGAAAGGAACGATACAAATACTTGATAGGCTAGGTCAAGGTTCGCACATTTTTTATTGCACAGAACTCCATGGCTTCCTATTCCATCGGCTACTTATTGGAAGATGTAGAAAAAACTTTCAAAAAGTTCAGGTAAAATGAAGAAGTTGTACAGTACGCTATTCTTAGAGAGGGACTAAACAAAGCTAAGGTTCGATCGGTATTCTTAAGTACTTGACGTGTTCGATCCCCATCACTGACGGAAAAAAGCAACATCATCCACAAAAACAAATTTTATCGATATGTATCAGTACAATAATAACAAATGTAGTGAAAATAAATGACAAAAAAAATAAATTTTCCCTAAATTAAATAACTTACTTAATTTGCTACTACAGCTGCAGATGTTTGTCTGTTAACATCGATCGATGCCGACGACAACGGTATAATTTAGCCGATCGATTTTTTTCTTATCTTGGCCGATCGAATCAATATGAACATATCGGATACCCCAGACATTGTGCATCGGATCTCGTAATATCTTAAATTTGTAACTTAACGTAAAATCAGCGTTTAATTTATATACGATACAGGATCCAACAATAAGCACAGCAGTTTGTAAGGTAAATAGACTCATTAAACTATCAACTCGATACAAAAAAGAAATACACAGAAATTAACAAATTAGTGTCTGCTGCAGCTAACTGCAAAAGCCACAAGCAAGGGTTTCCCGGCTACAACCTTTAGTGACCGAGGAATCTAATTTGAATTTAACGGTATGTGTCAGAATCAAGGCGAAAGAATGATGCACCACATTAAATTTGCCATGATTCACCCAAATGTACTTCTTTCTAACAGAAATTCGATCGAGCGCAACGAAATTATCCTGTGAAGAAACCAGACGTTCTTAGCTGCGAATTACGATTCCAGCTTTGCTTCGCTCTATGGCAACTGATCAATATCGACGTAAATTACACGTACTTACTAAACTCATATCATACCTTCTGATATTCTCCCCGCAAATCAATTGTGATGGACACTTTATCAATAGAGGCCGATGATTGCCACCACGTTTCATATTTTCCATCTACCATGTTCGAGGCATTGTGCGATTGGATCGGATCGCTTGCATCGCAATTAGACTTTATCCTATTTCTGGGTGATTTTTGTCTTTCCACAACACTGTAAAACGTTTCTGGCGGCGTACCACAAGTTGAGTTTGCAGTGATATGTCTGTTACGAGCTGCATTAGCCGCCCAAGTTACTCCTGCGAAATGGATGGCAGCAAATAATATCGAAATCAAGGCAGTTGACCATATCGCCATCTTGAAGTTTTGGCGTTTTGATCTTTAAGTTGGAGACGCTTGTCCGCTGCTAAGGAAATGGAATTTGATAGGTACATAAATTATGCAAATTAATTTTTGAGCATTAGTCCAACGGTTCGTCATTGATTTGTTTGCCTTGGTAGATCATTAATTGAAATATTGAATTCTTGCTTTATTATAAGTAGCCATTTATTTTAGAGCAAAAAATTTCCAAAGATGGAAGGGTTCCAAAAAAGAGTATGCGCAATCTGGGAAGCGCATTTTCTGCTGCAGGAAATGGGTGAGAGCCTGGAGAGAATAGGAATAAATCAGTCGTGCTTGACCTTCCTCGGCCTCGTTGACTCAGTCGTGCCGGAATTCGAATTATTTGTAAGATGACCAGTGCAGGGGTCTTGGGCTGGCTTGATTTTGCCCACTTTTTGTCAGGAGAAAATTATAATCCATAATAAAATCAAATAACTTGGCCAGTGAACATTAGAGAAGGACACCTCACTAAAGCTCTTTGCTGCTCCCTAAGGGAAGTTGACTCGGGAGGTATCGGAAGCTTAAAAGTGTGTATGGAAAGGGATTATGAAATTCGCATGGGAACTTCCCTTTCTGTCGCCTTTTTTTCTGATGGTTTGGACAAGCGGGAGATTAAGAAATATGGGTACAAGAATAGTGGCGCTTTTAACTCTTTTCCGCCGAGAAGCCAATATATTGGCTTCTCCACGTTAGCTTCAGTCTGCTAATGAAATCAGCTCGGTATGACATGACCGAGAAAGACTGTGACTAGAAATCTTATGTTGACATATTTTTCATTCATTCGAAAGTAAATAAAGTAATTTTTCAAGGCTTTTTAAGTGTATTTTTGCGGATTTATTGCGCGAATTTCGAAGTATCATTCACAGCGATTTAAAAATGGCGGCCTGTTGTTCTAATGAAGAGTTTTCTGGGCAATTGTCACTCGAAAACGACAGTGATTTTAGCGATTTTGGTGACTCTGATTCAGACGAAGAACAAGCCATCGATGACAACATTTATGGCTATCCAAATGATGTCGAGGGGAGAAATTTTGCTGAAATTGACGAGGACACCGAGTCAGCAGGCAGTGATTTTGACTGTGATGACGATCAAAATGTTGATGCGAACGGAGTATCAGAGATTGCGTTCGTGAATGAAGACACAGTGGGCCAAGTTTTTATTTCAAATGAAAGAGATGATGCATCTACGGACACTAGTACAACAAGTAATCCACCAAGGCCTCGGAAACGTCGAAGAGTAACGACTGGTAATCAAAACCAAGCAAGACGCTTACAACAACAACAACCGCAGTTTATTTGGAATCAAAATAATCCAAACAACACTGTTCCCGAATTCCATCTCAGACCTGGTCCAACTCGTGTGTGGGGAGGTGAGTCCAGTCCAGCCATTTGTTTCCAGTTATTCTGGGATGATGCATTATTTGAATTTTTAAGAGAAATGACAAATAAAAATGCAGAAAAAAAAAGAGCTGATAATCCTGACAAACATAAGTCTCCATGGAGACCAATAACAAGTCTAGGTGAAATGAAAGCATTCATTGGGGTTTGTGTAGCTATGGGTATCCTAAAACTCCCAGATCTTCATGATTACTGGCAGAAATCATACCGATTGTTTGAAATTGGGCAATGGAATGAGCATATGAGCCGAGAGAGATTCAAAGGTATCATGAGGTACCTGAAGTTTTGTGATGAGGAAGTAGACAAACCTCAACCAAGGGATGGCCAAGACCAACCTTCACCTGACAAACTTTACAAAGTGAGAAGGTTCTTGGACAAACTTCTACCAAAGTATGACCAAGAGTGGGTAAGCCATCAGTGGTTAGCCATCGATGAACAAATGATACCTTTTAGGGGGAGGGTTTCGTTTCGCCAGTTTGTTGCAAACAAACCTTCCAGATTTGGGATCAAAGTCTGGGCAATGGCTGATGGAAACAGTGGCTACATTCTCAGGCAGCAGATTTACACTGGAAAAAATGTTGAGCAAGGAATACCAGAAGTTGGATTGGGTGCAAGGGTTGTACTTGACTTAACAGTGGGCTACCAAGACAAAAACTACATTTTGGTAACTGACAATTTCTACACAAGCCCCATTTTGGCACAGAAGCTACTTGCCAGGGGCATAGATTGTCTTGGTACTGTAAAAGCTAATAATAAACACTTCCCAAAAGACATAATTTTTCCTCAAAAACCAAAACCTGCACGTGGATCAGGGTCCTGGAGAAGCTGCCAAAAGATACTCGCAGTATCATGGTATGACAATAAGCCTGTCTACTTTCTAAGTACAGTGCACAGTCCGGAACATTCAACAGATACTCCACAGGAGCAAAGAGGGGTTAGAAGGAGAAGCAAGGGAGGAGCAGCTTCTGTACCATGCCCACCATTACTGCATGACTATAACAAATACATGTGTGGGATTGATCGTGCAGATCAAAATAATCGCTACTATAGTGTTGGACGGAAATGTAAGCGTTGGCCACCCAGAGTGTTTTTTCACCTGTTAGAAACCTCGATAAACAATGCCTTTATAATTTACAAAGCCACACAAGCTGGTAAGAGACTCACATCTAAGACATTTAGAATGACTCTGGCAACACACCTGATGTCTGGATACATTGCAAACAACAACATTCCTGTTGCCAGGAGACGAGTTGACGCAAATCTGGAACCAAGGTTGCAAAATGTTGGGCCTCACATTCCAGTAATTGGCCCTTCAAGAGTTTGTGCTGTTTGTTCTGCTCGTTTGTCCCATCAATACAAACATGAGAAGAGGCCAAGGCCAGCCAGATCAATAATCAGATGCGAGACATGTGATGTACATTTGTGCCTGAACACTAACAGCAACTGTTTCTCAGTTTGGCACAAGCAACAAAAACTATTTTAGTTTTCTATGGTGTTTTGTTAGGGAAAATGGTTCTAGGATGTTATCCTGAATCTTCTTGAACTGCTTACAGCAATTTATTTACATTACCTTAAAATTAAGTCTTTCAAACTTCTTTATAATACATGCAGATTTGTTTTGAGAATTTCACTAAGATAATTTGGTAACAAATTATGCTAATTTTTAGTTCATTAATAATTCATTAATAATCAATTATGAAATTGCTTAAAATTTATAGATGCAAAATTTATTGCTGATTAATTTGATATATAGTTATCCATACTTCTGAGCAAACAAAATGGTAAAAAACTGTAAAAAGTGATGGGTGTATCTAAATTCTAAAGAGTCCCTTAAAACAACTCAGGCGGAAAAGAGTTAAGCAACTTTATTTTTAGCTCGTTTTCTTGAGAAATCATAAAGACAGTGTTTCACTTGTAAAGAGTTCTTTTCGGACTGAAAAGCAGCATCTTTGAGCTACTGAAAACGCTCTCCCCGTCCTGATTCATGAGCCTTTAACCAAATATCGCCAGCTTCTGAATAGTTAGGCCTTTTTTCTAACCACGGAGATTTTTAGAAGTCTCTCGAGACAAAAAAATTAATCGTTTTAACAAAAAGGAACTAAAAAGGTTCTGCCTTGCTTTGTGTCAGTTTAAGTGGCAGTCACGTCTTCTAATAACCAAGGATGATCCATCACCTCAGTCAGAGTAATTCTTTCTCTAACACTGGTTGACAACATCTTTTTGATCAAGTCTTTGGCCTGAAAAGAAAAAGGACGAAAAAAACAAAGAAAGCTGGAGATCACTCTGTTGTGATAGTGATGATGCGTAATTCGAGGAAGTTTTAATCTGGGAAGATTCTATTCTGGAGTTTTTGGACGGGGATTTAATTGCTCGTGACACTGATAGTTGCAGTGTCTGTATACAGTAACACGGTGGTAATGACATAGTTGCAGTGTCAGTATACAGTAACCCGNCTATGTCATTATCACTGTGTTACTGTATACTGACACTGCAACTATGTCATTATCACTGTGTTACTGTATACTGACACTGCAACTATGTCATTATCACTGTGTTACTGTATACTGACACTGCAACTATGTCATTATCACTGTGTTACTGTATACTGACACTGCAACTATGTCATTATCACTGTGTTACTGTATACTGACACTGCAACTATGTCATTATCACTGTGTTACTGTATACTGACACTGCAACTATGTCATTATCACTGTGTTACTGTATACTGACACTGCAACTATGTCATTATCACTGTGTTACTGTATACTGACACTGCAACTATGTCATTATCACTGTGTTACTGTATACTGACACTGCAACTATGTCATTATCACTGTGTTACTGTATACTGACACTGCAACTATGTGATACAATGACAACCACCTTGCCTACTATTCAGATTTGAACCTTGAAGCTTGGGTGGCATGTTTTCGGAACAGATAAATTATAAACCAGTACGATGACGAGACAATCTCATGATATATTATCTTGAGTAAGCCAATGCTACTACTGGCAGTAACATGTGCTGAATTGGGTAAATGACAGAAAGCTGATACAAAGGAGAGCAATTATTCCTATTAATCTGATAAATCTACTCTCCTTTTTTAATATAACGCTTCTGGGTGCTCTTTTAATCTTAAAAGATTATAAAACAAGAGAAACGGATTTGGGGGGATTAGATGTTGGCGAGGGGGGGTTTGGATGATTTTTATTTTCGCCCTTACATGAAAAATCAACACGATTACTTTCATTCTTAAGTATTCCATCTTATAGCGATAAGGATTTGCTAGTTGCTACGTTGCACATTGAAGGCCCTTTCAAAGCGATACGTCATCGAATAAGAAGTAAAACGAAAAAATTTGATAAATAAAAAGCGGGCAAAAAGAATTTTAGAAGTAGTTACCTGATCAGAGAGACCGGAAGCCTGCGTGGGATATTCCAGTTTACCAGAAGTTGTTTCCTGTAAAAGAGTCTTTGGATCTGAGTCATCAAACGGAAAACGTCCACACACCAAGGTGTACAAAACAACCCCGAGACTCCAAACGTCACTAGCCATACCATCGTAAGGAATACCTAACAACAGAAAACACTTCTCGTTGAAATAAAACTGCAGGAATGAGTTTTAACGACGTCTTAAAAGGAAAACTTGAATATATCAACAAAGTTGAAATGGTAAATTGGCCACCGCTTTGATTATAAAAGCTGACGTTTCGAGCGTTAGCCCTTCGTCGGAGCTCCGACGAAGGGCTAACGCTCGAAACGTCAGCTTTTATAATCGTAACGGTGGCCAATTTACCATTTCAACTTTGTTGATATATTCAAATTATTTCGTTATCCCCACCGACACAGCCCAAACAGTTTCTTTAGAAACTATCAGCCTTTATTGAAAGGAAAACTGACTGTTTCTTTTTCACTCATCAAGCCACACTTGAGAATAGGAGTGCTAGATTGCAGTGCTAGATCATGCTAAACACGCCTTATTTGAGTAAGAAAAACTTTTTTTCGAAAATTGGGTTTAAGGAGGTAAAGCAAACACATCCGGCATTATTTGCAAGCACTAAAGCTGCCTAAAGCGCGGAAAAACGCGGGCGGCCAAGTCACGATTGGTTTTAATCTTGAAATTGATTGTTTGAAAGAATGGCACGAGTTTTTTTGGACCAATCTCAGAGCAAGTAAAGCGAGATCAAGTATAAAGGGGGTAAGTTTCCAAAAAATGTTTGGTGCTGCGTCGGTGGGGGTAACAAGGTAATTTTGGTTTTATCAACTGAGTTGATAATGTAAATTGGCCACCGCAAAGGGTTTAAAAGCTCACATTTCGAGCGATAGCCCTTTGTCAGAGCGAATGGGGGAATTGTGGGTTGTGTGTGTGTGTTTCTATGCAGAAAGTGGAGCTGCGCTATTGGTAGGAACATGGTGGCGAGAAAACAAAAGTAAATTAATGGAATGAAAGGCGTTCGTTGACACCTATGGGGTTAAGAGTGCCGATTTGATAGATAAACTTTTGTTCAAGAGTTTGCGGCATTCCGAGCTACCTAAATGCGAGGAATGGCCGCAGAATGCCATATGCTGCTTAGAATGTTTAGGTATATTAAAGTGTTTAGCGACTGGTTTTGATGCGTCCTTGTCATTCCTCTCTACGTCGCGAAGGTGTTCTCGGAACCGGTCGCCTAATCGTCTTCCTGTTTCGCCAATGTATATCTTATTGCAATAAGTGCGAGTTATGTCAATATCATCTGTTGCATAACTTGCACTTACTGCAATAAATTAATACAACTGTCCGATTACACTGTCAGATTACAACTCTACAGAATAATTAATGCAAAATAAAGCAGCTAATGCACTAAGCACATTCAAGGAAATTGTAATGGTTATGATTAATGAAGGAACTAGTGGAGCATATTCATCGATGGAATTACCTTGTAGTATCTCTGGAGCAACGTATGCATATGAGCCACAGAAAGTTCTACTTCGAGTTCTTTGATCCGTAGCTGCTCCAATGTAACGCGCGAAGCCAAAATCTGTAACAATCGGTTCATTTTCATCAGAGAGAAGAATATTTTCAAGCTTGAGGTCTCTGTGAGTCACGCCTGAAAGCATAAAATGTATCAACTCACTCAGAATCAAGTTTGCCGTGAGAGCAAGAAAACATTTCCAGGTTTCATTATTTACAAATTTTACAGATCGATGGATTTTCCCGCGAAGAAAAAAAACAAAAATTTCCAAAATTCCTTGTTTACATTCTACTCCTAGAATAGAAAATCGCAGATACTAGTTTCCGAAAAAATTCCAGTCATCTCGAAACGCTAAAATAATTCCACGCGATGCTTGGCAAAATCGCGAATACGCAAACTGAAACTCCCTCAAAATGTCCATGCCGCACGGCAATACAGGAGCAAAAGGAGTTCCAGGCAACATTACATGAAGAGTAATACACGAATACTCAATGTTTTGGTCTTTACACCCACCGTTTTTATGGCAATACAGAACACCATCCACGATTGATTTGAATAGAACCTTTGTCTCGTGTTCTGTTAGTTTGTGGCGTTTAAGTAGAAGAGACAGGAGATCACCCTTTGGAGCCAGTTCCATCACAATAAAGAATTTATCCTCTCCGTCAATCACATCAAATACTCGGATTACGTTCTTGTGGTTTAGCCATTTAAGAATCTCTATTTCTCTCTTCAAGAATCTGCTCTTTTTCCCATCAACATCCTTCAAAAATCGGGGAAAAGTGACAAAAATATTATTAAGACTGCGATGCTACATCCTTGAGGTTAGGGGGAAGTTGTATCGGCAAGCTTTGTACCACAGAGTTGCTGATAACCAGGAATATTCACCCAAAGAGGGATTTGATCCTCTACAGCTATTTCTTAGACCTCAGTAAATAGCGAGTTACTGATTGTCCTTAGACTGCATTTCAACCTCCATCGACCCTATCCCGGCAAATTTAACTCAACACTTCTACACTTTCTCACCGATATCTTTTAAATGCTGGAAGAATTTTTCGGCAGAATCGTGAACATTCAAAGTAGGGCCCCTTTAATGCTGACGGTCGTAACTTTCCCAGAAAAAGGAAAACGATTGATTAAACTTAGACTCTTATTAATCAGATAACTTATTGTCCATGAGATTAATTGTTTCATAATTTTTTCGAAGATAGTTGTTAAGATTAATCTATCAAATTTAACCGTTGTGACATGGTTTAGATTGTACCATCTGTTGATCACACTTTAACCAAAAAATATTCATATCAGAAAGAAGCGCGATAACATTCACTTGATTTATGCATATAAAAAAATTCATTGTATTATTTAAGCTTCTTGGACACATTTTGGAGTAAGATTTTCACTCCTTCGTAATGTCGGACTGTTCTTTAAAAGTTTTTCAGTCGAGTGAGAATACTTTTTTAACGCATTCGTTTGGACTGACTTGCGAGGCCACCGAAATGCTGTTCACTCTTATTTTAAGTATGGCAGCTCTCTTACCTCTTCCTTGTTGACAATCTTGATAGCGACCTCCCTTTTAGCGTTTATGGAGTAAGCTTTCCTAACATCTGCATAAGACCCTTGGCCTATGACCCGGCCAATGTCGTAACCGTAACCTCGCAGAAAAGCATTTTGATCCAAGTTGCTCTGAGCGCCACCTTCTTCTTTGTTTCTTAAAGGCGCCCTAAATGCCTCTAACAAAGGTTTAAATTTGGTGATGACATAAATGAATGGAAGAATAATACAACCAATCAGAACTGAGATGAACGCAAACCCAAACATATCCAGAGTTACTGGCCCGCGCGCAAGAGCGCATTTCGTACCAAGTACGTCACAAAGTTGCCGCACTAATTACAACAAAATGAGCCTTATCATGAGAAAAGAACGACCAAATTACAGATTTATGACCCAAGAAAATGATTTAATGAAGTTAATATGTGAAAATGCGGAGGGCAATACTTTTTTATAGTGCGTTGCTACAGAGTTAATAGAGGTTCCCTCTATTAACTCTGGTTGATAGACAGTCATTTCCGGTACGCAATATTGTCCCTCGAAATGACTCTTTTACCGTTGGCATCTAAACATAAATTAAAGAAAAAACTCAACCTGCTATCAGTAAACTAATCCTTGGAGGCCACTAGAAATTTTCGCAAATACTCTACTTTTTCGTAAAAATTCATAAGCCTTATCAGAATCATATAAACTCGACTGAGGTCACATGCTTCCCTTTCCATGATGCTGTTGTGATCTTTGCCTACTCCCGAGACCGCTCATTTACATACTTGCCATGGTGAAAGCCGCTGACTAAAATTGAGTTATCGCTTGCTCAGTAATCATACCCCGCGGAAAATGGCGGCCTTTTCCTCGGGGGATGATAGTGAAGATCCTCTTCCGAAATACGGATGGAGGGTTCATCTCGACAATGTATTTTCACATAAGCCTCAACCATGTTATATCCCTCGGTGGAGTCAGATACCAAGGCTAATAGGTCTAGGATGGAGGTATTAAACGTTTACGCAAAAGTTGTTTTTATTTTTTTGCAATAAGAACCGGCATAATTTTTTTTCTTTGTGTTGACGTCGTTTGATTTTAGGTTCATGAAGTACGCTACAAGAGAAAGAAAAAACGGCAGAGTTCCTTTCATAGACCCTTTCGCCACAAATCCTTGTCGTCAAGTTTACGGTAAGTGTTAATATCAGTAGTAGATTTCTTGTTTCAGGAGAATTTTCGAGAGCTGAAATGATCAATTGTGATATCAGTTCCTGGAAAGCAAGCTTTCAAGCGTTTAGATCATCCATTAATGTCTGTGACAATACACATTCATTGTCCGATCGTGGAGGGTCTCGTGGCACAAACCTTATCGTAATTGTCAAGTGTATCGTTTTTGTACTAAAATATAATTTAATTTTAAAACGGTGACATCTCCACGTACGCGTGACACAACGCTTTTCAGAAAAAAATACAATCGCATTATTAACCTCAACTTGCGAGCTTGCTTCTTTATTGAAATTCTCGAAGGAAAACACGCAGTTTCCATTGATTTCTTATTCATAGGATTTTACCTAATTTAATTATTAGCGAAAAAGTTAACGTTTAAAATGCCGCAAAGCGAATCAAGAACACAAAGGTTCTGACTTTTTTTACTCGACTCGTAGTTACGTCGAAAAAGACAGTGTTCTCTTAGTGAGTAGATCTAGGAATACGTTTTGACTTCTATCTACTTTAGTGGTCAATAGCAAGACAGGTATTCTGACTCAGTGAGATAAGTGTGATAGTTTCTGGCAGGTGGTGATAATTTCTAGAATCCTTCTCATGTTCTCAGTTGTGACCTTTGAAGAATAGAATACAGTATTGAAAAGCTGGGGATGGCGTATTTATCATAGATGTTTTGTGATCATTTCTATAGCATCCAGCTTTCGTAATTCAGTGCCTTACACTGTACTTGATTAGAAAAACTGCGAATCGTTTTGAAGACTAAACAAAGCAGTATGCTCATCTGACTTTGCATCTATTATAAGGAGAGATGAATTTTGGTCAATATTTTTCT